AATATATAATTGTGAATATTGTATTTTACGTTCGGCAAAAACGGTTTGCTCTGTTCCGAACGGGGTACACTGGAATTCCATTAATAATTAGGTTGAGGTGAAGTGGTGTCTTTAAATAGTTACGTTTTCAAGGTCTGGGTCGCTTTTATAATCCGATTCTGACGTTTTTGAAGCATCTGTGCGTGTGCGTCTTTGTGTCTGTATGCGCATGCGTGCGTGTAATACGCTTAGGATCGCGCATGCGTGTCAGTAATGATAATACGAGGATTAAGCAACTCAGTTGTATTTTTGTTTAATTCAACATCATCATTCTTTTTTTAATTATATATTAGACATTAGCAGCATGGCCTGGCGTTGCCCGTGCTTGATTCAAAAATCGTAAATTAAACATACAGCAATCGCTATCACTTGACTTAAAATATTTTTGAGTTTCCTTTTAATTTAAATCAGTGCCCTTTGCCGTGCTGACGTTAAAACATGCCTTATATCTTGCCTATCTCACACTGAGAATTTTTTTAAGTTCATACTAAACGTTTGATTAAATATTTACGAAAAAAAACTAAACAAAATGAACACAAAACGATCAGCTTTAAAAAGGACTCGTAACTTTTAAAAAAAAAATGAAAAAGAAAATGTTAACAACAAATTCCTTTTCACAATATAAAAAGTTCTGCGGAATCAGAATCAACATTTTCTTTAAGCAAAGGAATGAGCCAATTGGAATAAAGAGCCATGCAGATTTAAATTTTTTTCTTGTGTTATGAATGCCCTATCGATGTTTTTTTTTATTTTACCATGCTAGTTAAGATTCATGTCAGTCAGCTGTTGGCTCTTATGCTTCAATATCAATAGAATCTTCCATATTATTTTTTTTTCTCACTCTGGCCAGTAGAAAATGGCCGCAAACTTCATGAAAACTGCCGTAGAAGCATGAAAAAATCGATTATTTCCACTATCGATGGGAGTTGGGAAATGCTAAGTCGGTATTGGCCTTCCTTGTTAACTTGGAACATGTATTAAATTTTGGTGCAAATTGTCGAAAATTGCGGCTGTGCATTCGTTACACACAATTGGATCCTGCCTTTTATAGATAGAAATTAATTTTCTCATGTGCATTTGCACATTTTTTTCATTTTGTTCCAATTATGAGTACTCCATTCTAGCATAACGATATCTACACGATTAAGATTGAATATACTTGTATGGATTTAATACAGTATTTTGTGCGTGAAACATGTACCTATTTTAATAGCCGAATTAGATAATCGTTTGGTTCACTAGTTCTCGTATGATCGCAGAAGATAAGCAACGTTGAGCTTGGGATATCGTCTTCAGTCACTTTCTCACCGTCGTGACGTTGCTCCTCTAGGTCCTTTCTTAAATATTTTTTTTCAGGTCAACTGTTCCGATGAGGTTTTTCCCTTGGTGCCTCAACAGAATAAATTTAAGCGAGCAACAAGATTGGCAACGAAGCCTCACCATTTTACTGTTGAACAAGCTACATACAACCAGCTCTTCTATTCAAATAGTTTCTTTTCTTGCACTTCTTACCTGTGGGACTCTCTTCTGATTTCCCTGCTACATACAATCTTCAAAATTTTAAATGCAATCTCCATCTTCTGTCTTCCTGAATCCTGTTTCATTATTGACCTTTTCCTCACTCTTCCTCATTAAAGTCTTCTCATTCACTTTCAATCCATGCAACACCCAACGCCTACTATTGGCATTGTCACCATCTTCTGTCTTCCTTAACCCTGTTTCTTTATTGTGCTTTTCTTCACTTCTCCTCACTAAAGTCTGTTCATTCTCTTTCATAAGGTAATGAATCTTATGTGGTAATTCCAGCATATGTTTGATTACTAATCCTTATTCATATTTCAAACTATTGTATATATTCATAATTTGTACACAAGATGGATTTGTCCAAAATATAATTATACTATTTTTTATTGCGTGAGAAAAACGTCGAGATAAAAATGTTCAACTTATAAAATTCATTTGAGTCTTTTAAATAGATAATTACGACTTCACTTACAGAGACTTGTTTTTATACTTTTCTAAAACCCGCATTCCTGGACTACTAATCTTCACTTCAAGTTTGTATTCTTGCGTTTTATACACATATTTGTCAATTTCAATTACTTTTTGTTTATTTATTGTTGCTCATTCCGAGATGAATTCGGTCTCCAAGGAATGACAAACGCAATAATTAAATATAATAAATAAAATGTATTTACACAATCATACAAAAAAAAATTGTACTGTTAGTAAGTCCAGGAACGAATTTAGTATGCAAATACAGATAGATATATACAGTCTCGAAGTAGGACTTTGGCTTTTGGTCTAACATTCACTTGTAAACTTTTTTCAAACCATTATAAAAAATATATTATAAATACCTATAAAAATATCTCTGTTCGTATTTCTCTCTCTCTCTTTCAATTATACCCTAAACAGGTATATCCGACTACCCTCTCTGACTGTCCAACTCTGGGTATTTAACGGCAGAAGTTTTAGGTACAAAATATTCTCCATATATAAAAAAAAATATGGACCCTTCACATTTAATGTTATTAAATATATATTTAATTTTATATTTCCTTTATATAAATATATTAAATTATAAGTTATTATATTTTTTCTTCCACCGGTCCGGTTCCTTCGAATCTTCGTCGTGATAGTCCAAGGTAGAACCAATAAAGAAGAACTCGAACACAGGTATGGAATAACACAGATATATTACAAACAGGAATATATACAGAGAAGTAGAAGTGTTAGTATGAACAATCAGGTTTAGTAGAGAGAACAATGTAGTCTCGACCAGTATCACTATTCCAATGTCTAGCAGTAATTGTCTGAACACGACTCTGTTTCGGACTGCCTCTGACTCGACTCTTAACTTGACTTGAACTACTGACAATATTCAGTCACCCCCCCACGAGGGTGTCATGTGGCACAAGGCCTTTTAACGTGGGGATGTGTCCCGAGCCATTAACTCGGCCAAAATATAAACCATTGAACCCGTATAAACGGGTTCTGGGCCGGTTTAATACTCCCGAAAAGATTTTAACTCCGCCCTTCGGCGTAGCCTCCTTTTATCTTCCTCCCGCCCGTAGGAAGAGAGTTTAACCGTGCAGTCGGTTCAAAACTTGAACTACTGACCTCTTGCCTACTCCTGAGACGCGGTATTTATTATGTATGGAATAGTCCATTATTATTATTATGGGTAAGATCCCATAACATTTATTTATTCAGTATTCCATCCCCGTAATCCACAACACAAACTAATAAAACTTGTTTCTTTTTCTTCTAAGATTATGACAGTTTTGTTTGCTAATGTCGGCATTTCTTATTATTATTTCCTAATCCTTATTTATTTACATTATTTCAACCTCACCTCACATTGGTGATCTCCCTTTGCCCTCTATATGTGATCAGCTATGCCTGATTTTTCTAGTTCTCCACATGTTACGGCTAACGATGTTCTTGCAGTCTTACCTTAAGGAAACGACCTGTTTCTCCTTTATATTTCTAACCTACAACTGCACGGGATGATGTACACATAGTCCTTAGTCATGATCTCCTCTATGGCGCGTTCTTATATCACAGATAATCCTTATTTATATGTTAAATTAATAAAAGTTATTCATTTTCGTCTATTGTCATAACAATGTTGCTTGCTAATAGCAGAATATTTTTCAGGAAGCGGCATTGGTTTTGTCCATTGATTTCTCTAAATATTTTGCTGTCTGTTTGTTTTCCTCAATCCGTTTTTCTCTCATTCTCTTTTTTAATCGTCTTTTGTTCCTCTTTCAAATTCCTTCTTCCAAATAAAACTTTTTTCTATGAAAGTGAAACGACAAAAATAAAGCTGCCATATTCAATCCTATCTCTCAATCCTATTTAATATGTTTCTCAAAAGCATAAATTTAATTTCCAGTTTCAGAGGTCGTTGTCATTGACTGGAATATCGAGAAACGGATTCGTAAAATGTCCATAACTAATAATAACAACAGCACGAATATTAATACGCTGCTTTCTGGATTTGTCTGAAAGAACGAATCGTAAGAAAGAGAGAGAACGAGAGAGGGGGAAGATCTTCTTGAGTGAATTCTCGACGCAGCAAGAATCGAACGAGATGTAAAAGGAGAGTTCACGAGAACTGCGATATCGGTTGTTTTCCGGAAACGCACCATAACAGATCGGAAATGCCTAACGAGACTGATCGATGTTTGCTCGCGTTTGCAATGTCCACAATGACGATGCCAAGTATAAACTTAAGTGATCAATTGATCCATTGCAGAACTTCAGTTTGCTTGTAGTGAAGACGTTAACAAATATTTATGCTGTTCGGGCGTTATTGGTATTGATATTACGTCAACAGAATCCGGAGATTGGGTAATAACACACGCCCGAAGAGAAAGATTTTTAACATATATGGGGGGGGAGATTTAGGAAAAAAAGAGAAGGTTCTTAAAAAATGGAAAAGAGAAAGAAAGAGATATTGGGGATGAGGGAGAGAGAGGAGAAAAATATTTGGAGAAAAAAGAAAGAAAGAAAATGAAAGAAAGAAAATAAGAAAATTAAAGAAAGAAAAAAAGAAAGAAATAAAGAGTGTAGGAGGGAAATGGAGGCGGGCCAAAAAAAGAAAGAAAGAAAAAATGAAAGAAGGTTGGGAAAGAGAAATTTAAGATTTTTCAATTTGTAGAAAAGAACATTATTCATTTTACAATTGCAAGAGTCATAAGAGATTTGAAAAGAGAGATGGAGAGAGAGGTGGAGATTCTTATTAAAAGAAAATCAATGGAGAGAAAGATGGAAAAGAGAGGTTGAAAAGAATTTTTGGAGAGGGAGAGAGGGAGAGAAATTAATTTACAGAAAAGGATCTTAGGAGGAGGGAGATTTTAGGTTTGGAGAGAGAAAAGATTCAATATTTGCTAGTTAGGAAATTTAAATTTTTTTCTTGATCTGAAAGAAAGAAAGGAGGAGGGGCATTTTTTTCATTTAAGAGAGAGAGGTTTGAGCGAGGAGAGAGATTTTGAGAATTTTTTTTTTGTATGAGAAATTAAAGAGTTTTGAGAGAGAGAGGGAAAGTTCAGAGAGGTGGAGAGAGAATCTGATTTTTTCTTTGAGAAAGAAAAAGAGGGGGAGGGAGAGAGAGAGGTGGAGAGGGAGAGAGAGAGAGAGAGATTAGGTTCTTCTTTTTCAATTTTTTAAGAGGAGGGATAGAGAGAGAGAGTGCTTGCTTGTATAGCAAGAAAATGCCCTCTTATCAATATTAAACCAGAGATTAAGCTTAATTTTTTAAATATTTCTGGTTTTTTACTTTTTAATGTTTATTTTGGAATATATTTATTCTGTAAAGTCGATTATTTTCAATCATTTAACATTTAAACATTTGTTTTACCACCACCAGCAGCAGCAGCAGCAGCATCAACAATAATAATCATAATTGATCTTATTCAATAACTCAGTAAAATTTCAAATGGCTTATAACATTGACCGATTTCAGAGTTTCGCGTAATACTGGCCATCAGGGTCAGCTGGCCTGATAAATAGATTTATTGAACCGAGCCGGTCAATGAGATAAGTCCATTGAATATTTATTGATTATTGTCACTCTAGTTATTGATTACGCATTTTCTTTGGCAAATAAACTTAAAACATGTTAGATTACAAAATCTTTTACGTATTTTGATACATGTCTTTAAATTTTATTATTATCATCATCATTCGATTTCTGCTATGGACACACTACCTACCAAGTCTGCGGAAAGACCTAAGGCAGGTCGTGGTGTGTTGTTATGGCCACATTTCATGTTAATTTTTTTTTTTTTTTTTTTTTTTATCTCCGATGAAGTTGCTAGCGTTACATAGACAAAGTTCTCCTTAGTGTGTGTGCTGTACTTAATAAGACAATTTTCTGTATGTCTCTTAAGCTGGGGTTTCAGGGGATTCTTTCAATGTGTTGTTTTGTTCCATTTTTTATAATTCCAAAGTGCACCTATTACCACTGGTATTATTCTTGTTTTCAATTTCCACATTTTTCTATTTCAATTTCCAGGTCTTTGTATTTTGATAGTTTTTCAAATTCCTTGGTTGCTATGTTACAATCCGCTGGACAAGCCATATCAATTAGTAGGCAAGTTTTTTCTTTCTGGTTTTGACAATAATGTCCGGCCTATTTGCTTCAATTTTTCTGTCTGTGTGGATGGTATAATCCCATAGAATGGTGACATCTTCTATTTCTGGACGTAACCGGCGCTGGCCGATGTTCATTCCAGTGTTTGCTTACACATTTTCCAAAGTGTTTATTATTATTATTATTATTATTATTATTATTATTATTATTATTATTTATTTTGAGATAATTTTTTGGCGTTTATGTGATTATTTCTTTTTTTGGATCCCGAAGGAGATTTGTAAGGTTAAAAATTGCAAAAACACCTTCCATTGACAAAAAAAAAATAAAATAATAAATTATGAAAAATAAAAACAATTTAAAAAAAAAAAATAAAAAAATAAAAATATTTTACATAGATAAAGTTCTCCGTAAAGTGTGGGCTGTAAAAATTTTCAAGTTCCAAAAAAATTGTATTTCTTGAGGCTTCTTCGACTTCCAGGAATCCCTGCAATTAGTCTACTGGAATCTTTTCCAACCAATCTTAGGGCTCCAACTAAAACAAAAGATTGTTGATAACCCATATGCCAAATTTTCGAATTTCTATTTCAAGGTCCTTGTATTTTGACAGCTTTTTTTCATTTCTTCAAAAATACATTGCAGTCAGCAGGGACTGCCATATCAATAAGGAGGCACTTTTTTTTGTTTGTTTTTTGTCTTTAATAACAATGTCTGGGCGGTTGGCTTTTTATTGTTCTATCATTATGTATTGTGTAGTCCCAAAGAATTATATTCATTTATTCTATCTCCGCAACCAAATGATGTTCATACCAGTTTCTTTCAGTTTCCTTTCCATAGAAGTTGCAAAATTTCCAGTGCAGATATTGACCCACTCGGTCATGCCGGGTTTTATATTCAATTTAATATTATTTAACCTGACAATTAGATTATCAATCGTTTCTGGATATTTATCACAGAATCTGTATTTTGGGCTAACATAATATTATTATTATTATTATTATTATTATTATTGTTGTTGTTGTTGTTGTTGTTTTAATATTTAACGAGTATTTTTATTATTTATTTATTATATAATTTATTTTTTATTATTTATTAATTTAATAATAATAATAATAATAATAATAATAATTTATCAACTGTTTTTTTAGTTTATTATGCACTTGTAGAAAACTAAAATACTGGGAAGCACTTAAAATTCTAATAAAGAAAAAATTAGTCATGAAATTTGAAAATAGGAAATTAATACAGAAGTCTCCTGAAAAAAGCATTTATTTTTTTAAGACATATTCAGAACATTGTACACCTCGGTGTCAAAAGCCATCAAATAGTAATGGCAGTGATAACGCTGTACCTTGCAGTTTTCAATAAGGCTTGACTAGCATTTCTCAACTTTTTTTTTTTACTTCAAGTCACATTTGTAGAATAACTAAATTCTGGGGTGCACTTAAAATTTTAATAAGTCAAAATTAGTCCTGAAATCGGAAGATAATAGAAAAGTCTCCTGAAATAAGCATTTATTTTTAAGACATTAAATTGTATATTTAAGTCTGTTTGTGTGAAACCTGTTAAATTCCACAATTTTTTTTGAATGAGATTTTAATTGTGAGAAATATATTGTCATTTTTTCATCAATGCATTTAATATTTCATGTATTTTTGCATTTGACGTTGTCGATAAGTGGAAGGAACCATAATTCACAGAGGAATTGCAATAAAATATTCAATGTTTAATGGCATTCTTCTTGTATGGAAATCCAAAATTGATCAATGGTTACTGACTTATGCCACCTACTGTTCTGTTAACGATAAGGCAATGTCATCAGTTGAAACATTAATGAAAGTGCTGCAAATCCAATCATATTGTTCAATGTTTATAGATGGAAAGTTACACGGATTACCTTTCCAGAGTTGTCAAATAATCCATTTTTGCAGGGAGTAAATCATTTACATGGACTTGGTATTTCTAGCTTTTTAAAAATAAAGATTTTTTAAAATATAAATATAATTAATAAATTACTCTTTGGATAGCACACCTGGCGACAAAATCAAGAAAATCTACTGAATGGCTTAAATATCTTAAAACCATGGCCTGTGACCTTGCAAAGGGGTATGGGACCTCAGATAACAAGGACAATTTCAGGTCAGAACGCGAGACTCATAAGAGTCTTTCTGGCGTCCAAGTGCGAGCTAGAAAATCAAGGTGGCTCTCATAGGCTCAATGCCCTCATGGCATCAGATTTAGCAGCAGAATGAACACGTTTGGTTTGGTTTGTTTTGGTTTACGGCATATCAACCACAATGGGTTATTTAATGACGACAAAATTTCATTTTTTTTTTTCAAAAACGTATAGCTGATAATTTTTTCAGAAATTTGTAGCTAGTAATACTTTTTTTTCAGAAATGTATAGTTTGGTTTGTTTTGTGACATATTAACCTCAATGGGTTATTTAATGCTGACAATATCCTTATTTCTGGTAATATTTTCTTTTTCAAATATTTATTGCTGATACTAACTTTTTTTACAAAAAAATATAGTGTTTTGAGTCAGGTTGTGGGGCCAACTATATGCTCATAGCTGGGACCTTAACAGGTGCTAACATCCCGGGTCACTGTGGATCTGGTAACATAAAATTAAGATTTGGTTCAACGACTTCAAAACCTCCTGTTGGACTGGGAACACCTAGGACGTATGGATGCAGTTTATCGTCATACCCAGGACGAATTAACACGTTTCTTTAAAAATGATTATCCTCCCATATACAGACCGAAAAATTTTAAGACAACATGGAAAGGAATGTCCATTCTTTTTTTTTTGGTTCATTTATCGTCAAAATTATTTGCGATTTTATAAATACGAATGAACAATTTTTGTTGAAAAAAAAATGCTAATAAATTTATTAAGGATGAAACCGAAAAAACCATATAGAGACCGAAAATTTCTTCATTTGAAGACAAATTTAAATGGAAAAATATGGTTATTATTTCAAAATTACTTAAAATAATTTTCCACTTTTTTTAATAAGTTTTTTTTAATAAATAAATTTATAAACTCTAAAGTTTATTTTATATATATATATACACCTAATATATACAAACCTACCTAGGTTTCACAAATTCCGAAAAAAAGTTGTTAACGATGAAAGAAAAAAATATTTAAAATAAACAGAAACGAGTTTATTTATCTATCTATACATAACTAGAATATATATATATATATATATATATATATATATATATATATATATAAATATATAATCATAACAAATAAAAATGGATGTTGACTCATCAAAGTATTTAACTATCCAAATTGAACCTGAACATAATACGTTATCTTAAAAAAATGCCAACTATTAAAAGGCCTCGGTGACGAAAATAATTTGAAAATAGACTCGATATAGCCCGTCTATTCCGCTGGAACATGTATTTGACGTTTTTTTAATTCTTTTCGGTCGTGGATTCTTCTCAAATATAGGACGAAAAAAATTATGGATGAATTTTGAGGTTTTTCTAGATTAAAATTTTTAAAAAAAATATCACAAATTTAACCTAATTTTATTCATTTATATATGTATATATGCAAAATTACTAAATAAATGTTTTTTTAGATATATATAAATTCAGATAATTTACTTAGAAAATACAAGAAATGTTTATTACCTCGAATGTTTGTTGTGTTCCGATGGTTACATTTTATTATTATGACCTAATAGAAAACGGAGATTAAATTTTCGTTGACGCACGTGTTAACGACCTTGTCTGATAGTGAACAATGCCACGTGTTTATGTCTGTAGAGGAGAAAAATGGGGTCGATTCTAATTAGTTTGGAATGAAAGAATTAATGTTAATTATAATTGTTATAGGCATATCAGATAGAAGGTTCTCGGTGTAAAATTGAACAGAAAAATGATTTATTTACAATATCTGATTGGAAGGAAAGAAGATTAAAAGATGGCTCAAAAAATAATAATTAAACTGCATAAAAAAGTAAGTGTTCATTTAAAACTGAAGCTTACAGTTGATAAAATTAAAATTGTCCTTGATAAACGCATACAGCTTAT